CCGTCCTCTTCGCCCACCTTTCCCTCTCCTGCCGCCGCCGGCCCCGCTGACTCACGCTGGTGAGCTTGGGGTTTGCACCAGGTTTGTGCAATGCAACAAAACCAGCGCCTAAAAAGTGACTCCTCCGGCACAGACAGCTTCCCCTCCCTCCGCCCCGCAGGCACTTGGCCCCAGGCCTCGCTCTGCCCCAGGACTGCTCCTCCCCTCCTCGGCTCATTTAGCAAAGGCCCTTCGGAGACCCAGGTGAATACCATGTTCCCACCGAGCCCAGGCCCCTCGGCACGCAAGGCCCCTTGCTTTGGTCCTCCCGTCCGGTTCTCACCACTGTGAAGAGCCTCACCTTGTCACAGACGTTTGTGGGTGCCCTGCTGCGCTCCAGGAACTGCAGAAGTGCTGAGGAGAGGACCAAAATAAAACGGGGTTCCTGCTTTTGAGGGACTCAGTCTGGGGGTCGTTTTAAACATCTATTGGAATCAGTAAGATTCCTAGAAAAATACCCGCATAGAAAAAAAAGCGGGGGGGCAGACAATCAGGACTTCATAAGTGAAATGACTTTTTTTGGAGGATGATTGGTCCTGAGAAAGGATACAGCAGGTTGTTAAGATGAAGGGAAGAACATACCCAAACCACTGAAGAAGAGAGGATGTAACTATGGACAATGGTTTCCAGCTAATAAAAAGAAAATAGGATTCCACTGAGTTTCCTATCTACCTACTCCAGGACTTCTGTGAGGATCAAATGAGATGAGGCATGGGAAAATGCTTCACAGACATTTGATTAAAGTGTAAAATGTTTGCACCTGGCTATAAAGTAAGTTGTGTTTTGGGGCTAAAGAAACTCCAAGGAGGCTAGTTGCTAGGGAGAGGAAACCAGGCGTTGCTACTTGACATCATTACCAGCGCCCACAGCAACTGTTTCTGGGCTGAGCTGGGCTGTGGGCTACGTTTTGCACCATGGGGTCTTGGCAGCGTTGGCTGCGATTTGGTGGGGTGTCACTCCAGGATGGTGGCAGGACCTGTATCCCACTTGGGGGAAGGCAATGATGAGCCTAGCCAGTTTGGCTCAGTGGATAGAGTGTCTGCCTGTGGACTAAAGGGTCCCGGGTTCCATTCTGGTCAAGGGCATATGCCCGAGTTGCAGGAGGGGGCATGCAGGAGGCAGCCAATTAATGATTCTCTCTCATCATTGATATTTCTCTTTTTTTAATACATTTTATTGATTTTTTACAGAGAGGAAGGCAGAGAGACAGACGCCCAAGGATATTTTTCATTGATATTTTTAGAAAGAGTGAAAGGGAGGGAGAGAGACAGAGAGGAATTAAGATCAATGTGAGAAAGACACATTCATTGGTTGCCTCCTTCACGTGCCATCTCTGGGCCTGGGAATGTGCCCGCAACCCAGGTACATGCCCTTGACCAGAATCAAACCTGGGACCTTTCAGTCCACAAGCTGACGCTCTATCCAATGAGCCAAACCGGTTTCAGCATCATTGATGTTTCTATCTCTTTCTCCCTCACCTTTCCTCTATGAAATCAATAAAAATATTTTTTTTAAAAAAAAAAGAAAGAAAGGAATGAACGAACTGGCAAGTTGTCACCACAAAGTGGTGTTGGTGTTGAAGTCATCAAAGGGGAAGCATTTCAGATGACGTGGTTTAGGGTCTGATGGCTGAAATGGAGTCAAGTGAGATGGGCATTGCTGGCATTGGGTCTAGCGCCCACCAGGCCAGTGTAAGGGACATCAAGAGGCCTGGGAGGATGGTGGAACTTGGAGAAGTCAATTGAGGCCAAGAAACCAAGTAAATATGAAGCTAATAGATGACAGCAACAAGGTAGGGTAGAGGGTTGTAAGGAAAAATTAAATAAGTTTTAAAACAAAAGGGAGTTTCTCCCCACTAAGAATGACAGAACAGTGTTGTAGAAGAAGTAATAAGGATCCAGGGGTTACTAATGTCAATTTCTGGGAAAATGAGCAAAGACTCCACTCAATAGGAACCAGAGGGGAGACCCAAGCCTCCTCAAAGGCAAATAAATAAATAAATAAATAAAAACTTTAAAGGAGGAAACACCTTGTAAAAAAGGCTGGAGGCATAGAAGAGATTGCTATGAAACAAGTCCTCCAGAATCCAGAGGACCCTGTAGAAAGGGTGCTTGTGAAATGCGTTGAAATGATGGTAATAGTTAACACCTGCCATGTATGCAAGGTTTTGAAGTATGGTACCTATTTGCTTTGTTTGACAATGGACAGGTTATTTTGATTTTTCTGAATTATATAAATCATCCCATTCGATTAAATGCCTTATTGATTGTAATGTGAATATCCCATGGGTTGTGGTTATGCTAGTCTTAGAAAGCACATTTTCCTTTACCTGGGAAGGACAGCACAGTTATCCTTTAGGGCTATGAGATTTGGGGAATGGCCCCTCATAGTCCTGGATTGCAATAAATGTGCCTCTTTAATTCGACTTCTTGAGGCGTCCTTCTGTGATTCGCGGGGTACATTACAACAGTTTCCTTCCACACTTCAGTACTTCATTTCCTTTTTACAACCAGAACAGTAATTATGGGTTTTTTTGTACTAAAGGACCTGAGGCTTAAAGGTGTGGAATGCCCTGACCAAAGGTACTGTACATTAGTTAATATAAATAACAAAACCAGGACACTGTGGGGAGGAAAAATAATTTTTCCTCCTACCCTTTTAAGTTCTTCTGGCTGGACTAATCAAATTAACACAAGATAGATTAACAGGAGTAAATGATCAAATTTATTACTTATATGCATGCAGAGGTTTCATAAGAATATAAAAGGTGCCCAGCCTGTGTGGCTCAGTGGTTGAGCATCGACCTATGAACCAGGAGGTCAAGGTTCAATTCTTGGTCAGGATGCATCCCTGCGTTCAGATTCCATTCCCAGTAGGGGGCGTGCAGGAGGCAGCCAATCAATGATTATTTCTCCTCATTGATGTTTCTATCTCTCCCTCCCCCTCTCTGAAATCAATAAAAATATGTATATTTTTAATACTGCCCCCAAAAAAGAATATGAAACTTGAGGACAAATCAGGCAGTTAAGGCTTATATGCCATCTTGAGCTAAGGTGGGGTGGTGTTTGGGGGACTCCAATGGCAAGGAAGGCAAGTCACGCAGAGACGGAAAAGCAAATGTTTGGTAACTATATGTTTGCTAGACCATCTTTAACAATATGATACAGAGAGGACTTTGATCAAAGAGGCCATGCTAGGTTCCTCCCTGTCTATCACACACTGGTTTATATTAAACTAGTTATCTGATTATTTCTCCCTTCCTGGAGGAGGTCCTCTATCTAAATTCTTTTAGGCAGTTAGGGGGAAAGGTCAAAGGTTCTTCCTGAGTCTTTTGTTTCTTGAAAATAGCCAGCTTAGCCCTAGCGTCGGCCTGTGGACCAAAGGATGCCAGGTTCAATTCTGGTCAAGGACATGTACCTCAGTTACAGGGTCCTCCCTGGCCCGGGTCCTGGTCAGGGCTTGTGCAGGAGACAACCAATCAATGTGTTTCTCTCACATCGATATTTCTCTCTGTCTTTCCCTCTCTCTCTCTAAAAAGCAATGGAAAAATATTCTCAGGCGAGGATAAAAAACAACTAAATTAATTTAATTAAAAAAGAAAATAACCAGCTTAAAATAATCGATACCCCAAAAAGCATATTTTGGGGTGGCAAACTCTGCTTTCCTTTGATATCAAAAGAAAACATCCGTTTCCAAAGTCAGACTCTTTACCACAGAGTGTAGAGCCTCATCTTTTTCTTATTCTATGAATATGAGGCTAATGGAGAAAAGATATTTTGTGAATACACAGAGGTTCTTATGATAACTTTTGTAATATTAATCCAAAATGGAAAAAAAAAAGTGAGCAGGAAAACAAATCTGATAACAGGGTTGACATTGATTAATTTGTGTGGGATAAGGGTGTGTCTTCATTCAACAAGTGTTCTTTCACAGCCTACTACCAGCATAGAGTTGAGGATAAAAAAGAAATGGAAAAGAAGCCCATTATTAAGTTGATTTGTGTGTGTTTTTTAATCTTTTATTTTGAAGAAGTCCACCTTTCAGAACAATTGTAAAACTGTCTGTCGCCTGGGGGTCACAGCATTCACCATTGTTTTGAGTGCTCCTGGAGATAAAACAAAAGTATGGCTGAATGGGCTGGGCCCCACCTCTGCTATTTGTTGAGTCAGTACTATATTCCTTTTGGAGGTGAAGAAACTTGAAGAGTAAGAAGTCAAAGGTGTTCACCCATTATATATATAGTATATATTATATATTATACATTATATATA